TCTAACTTCTGTGCTCCTCCTGTCAGGTTCACCGAGGCTCCTGTGCCTACCAGATGAAAAGTAGTTGCAGTTCCATCCCCTCAGCATGTATCCAATAGAAGGAGAGGCTTTCTTTAAGTGTCATAAAATTCGTCTTTCATTGCTGATATTCAGTCCTTGTGCCAAATGATCGGAATATTACAGTGTAAGTTACCTTTTCTGAAACTAGAAAATAAAAGAGCATTCTTTTCAAACAAGCTTTCATTTGTATCTTTATTGTGGCTTTAAAATTGCTCTCATTTTGGTTTGTTTTGGTTGAGGATCTAGCCTAAGACCTTCTCATGCTCCTTAGCACCTCACCCTCAGCCCCAGCTAGTTACTATAGACACATTCTAATTGTGTCAGGCATTCATGGCATGACAAAGTACCTGACAAAATCAACTCTTGAAGGAAGGATTTCTTTTGGTTTATGGTTTGAAGCTATGGTGGGAGGAGCAGGAGGCAGCTGGTCCTATTACATCTGTAGTCAGGAAGCAGAGAGCTGAGTGCTGATGCTCAGCTCCCTCTCCCTCTCTCTCTCATCTATCTGTCTTTTGAAACAGGGTCTCACTGTGTAGTCTTGGCTGGCCTGGAACTTGATAAGTATACCAGGCTGGCCAGGAACTCACAGAGATCCACTTACTCTTAAACATCTTTTCTGACTTTTTAAAACCTTTATCCAATGCAGGATGGGTAGGTGCAAACTGCCGCAGGCTTCTGCTCAAGATTCGAGTTAAAAGGGAACCAGCACCAAGCTGGCCTTCCAGAGTATCCTATGGTAGCCTTTAAATGAAGGGTTGCCTGAAGCTGCCTGGAAAAGAAAGTCCTCTCTTCTACACTTGAGACATCTTCACAGACTTTTTCTGGAACACTTCTTTCTCTCTCTCTCTCTCTCTCTCTCTCTCTCTCTGTGTGTTTGTGTGTATGTGTGTGTGTGTGTGTGTGTGTGTGTGTGTACACTTGTCATGTTGTGCCTGTGGACGTCAGAGGACAATTTGCAAGAGTAAGTTCTCTCCTTTCACCACATGGGTCCTGGCAATCAAATTCAGGTCATCAGGCTTGGTGGCACGTGTCTTTACCCACTGAGCCATGTTGCATGACACTATTCCTGGGACACGTGAACAGCTACTCACTCCAGATAGGGAATCAACCACAGACCATAGCAAAAATACCATCAAAGTCCAAAGTGGTGAACCAATTGGGGTTACTTATAGCATAGTGAGGAGTTACCTACAGGAGCAGAAATGACTGAGACAGCTGCATCACCAAAAGCCCACCCCAGCATGGGTGACAGCTCATGAAAGCAGAAACCTGGAGGGCACTGCACAACATTCAGCTAGCTCAACAGGTTGGAGAGTATCTTTTCCAGGTAGCTCTTTGGTCTGAGCCTCTTCCAGGCAGCTTGGTTGGCCTCTGCTTCTTCCAGAGTTCAGCTGATCTCTGCTTCTTCCAGAAAATTCTGCTAGCCCAAGAGTCTCTAAGCAGTCCTTAATGCTTATATGCTTGAGAAGGAAGGGTTGCAAGAGTGGAGGGGGTCATCAGTTCTTCCTCCACAGTTCCAGAGCTGCCAGGGCCAGGCAGTGTGCAGCAGGGATGTCCCTGCACAAAGAAAACCCTGACAAGCCATTGCATGAAGCTGTGAAGGTGAAGCCTTGTTGGCAATGGAGACTCCATGAAGATGTTGAAGATGCTAGAACCATGAGACATCTGCCAAGTAGGGCTGCACACAGGGAATGGTACCAGCCCAAGAAAAAGATGTGTGTGTTGCACGCAACAAAGCTTGAGGGGCTGAGTCATCTAAGCCCTTTGCGATGGACCAGCCCAGACCGGGGCAGTTCAGTCCGATGGGAACAGGGTCGTCGAGAGGGTGGACAAGGAGTCGGCGAGTGACAAACAGACAGACACACATGAGCTTGGTGAAAGTCTGAGTACAATTTTTGCAGTTGCAAGGTTTGAGATATATACAGCAAAGATTACAAAAACCGCAGAACAGTCATGCTAAGATTTACAATTCCAGAGATGAAAGTAAAACAATTTTGCAAGACATTTCCTTATCTAATCAACCTGGTACTAGACAGTAAATTCCTGCTTTACTGTGGTTTTTGCTGCCAGCCTTTCTCACACACTTAGGATTCTGTTCTGCTGTAGTTCCAGGTCAGAATGACCTTAACCCACCAAGCACTTTCAACACCAGCTGTGCCTGATATTACTTTTTTTTAACTATTTGATAATATTCCTTGCTTATTTGTAGTGGGCCATAGGGCTTCTAAGTTATTTTTTAACTCCATAGGTCCCAAAAAGGCCATCCCATGCTAGGGATCCATGAAACCATCCTTCTCTCCTATCCTACCAATTTTCAAATACTTTCTATATTTGCCCTTTAATGCTCTCTTATTGATTTTTTGTCAAAAGACACCAAGGTGGTGTTGATCTTACCAATTTATCCATGAATTGTAATGAATACCAAGAAACCCTTCCTCCATCTATGCCTCTTTTCTAGAAATCTGTTATTCCCTGGACTTTCCAGCATTAATTCTGTTTAACTACTTCTTGTTGCATCTAAAATAGCTTTCATTAATAGTGATGCATCTGGAGGCAAAGTTGTCTTTTGTGATTGAGTTCCTGAGAACTTTTCCTGCATACTAGGATAATTAAAAGATTTTAATAAAGGCATTGACAGCGGTGTCAAGGACACCAGGTGCTTTCTGGGCCCCTGAAAGTCCATGATACAGTGACAGACAGAAAGATAATAGCAAGTAAAAGCATGCCAAGTACACTGCATGTTTTTTAGCACAGCCAATTCCAAGAGGCAACCTTCCTTGAAGTTCCAGCCTCAACCCATGGAGGATCTCACGTGGGCTTCATTGGAGATGGCGTGGCAGCCCTTCTTCCCAAATAGTTCCTGATCTGCTTTCATGTCATGTGTGTGTTTTCATGTGTGTGTGTGTGTGTGTGTGTGTGTGTGTGTGTGTGTGTGTGAATGCTAGATAGACACTGAACTCAGGGTCTCATGCATATATATTAGGTAAGCACTCTATTGCTAGGCTATGTCCCCAGCCCTCTTCATACTTTATAATTTGAGACAGTCTAAGTTGTCCAGGCTGTCTTTGTACTCAATCTCTAGCTCAGGCAGGCCTTGAACTTGCAATCCTCCTGAGTACCTGTGACTATAGGTCTATGCCACCAGGCATGGTTCTGATTTTAAACATAGATTGCACCAATGAGGCAAAGAATGTGATATTTGCCATTGTGAGTGCAGTTATTTTGCCTACCAGGAGGAAGTCCAGTTCCATCCATTTTCTCTGCAAATGACATAATTTCTTTGTATTTTTCAATTTTTTTTGGTGTTTTTGAGACAGGGTCTCTCTGTAGCCCTAGCTGGCCTGGAACTCACAGAGATCCACCTGCCTCTGCCTCCTGAGTGCTGGGATTAAAGGCCTGTGCCACCACACCCAGCTCAATTTTCTTTTTAATTTGTTCTTTAAATTTACATTTATGTCTTTGTGTGGTGGAGCACATACTTGTGGTGGTCAGAGGACAACTTGCAGGTATTTATTGGTTCTCTCTTTCCACCATTAGGGCCTCAAAAATCAAACTCAAGTCATCAGACTCGGTGGCAAGTACCTTCACCCGCTGAGCCATCTCACCAGTCTCCTTCAGAGCAGAATAAAACTCCATCATGTATGTATACCATAGTTTAAGTTTATTCACCTGTTAATGGACATCGAGGCAGATTCTGTAACTTTACTATTTTAATGTTTGGGCATCTCTGCTGTATGCTTAGCTTTCTTAAGGTATCTTCCCAGAAATGAGATACCTGGAACACATTAATGATAATTCTTTTAGGTTTTTGAGGAACCTATGTATTGATTTCCACAGCGGTTGCACCAGTGTATATCAACCTGCATTGTAAAAGTACCACTCACCCTGCATCTACATCAGCATTTGTTGTTGCATTTGCTTGATGAGAGTTCCTGAATGTCCTGAGATGGAATCTCAGTGTTCACTGTACTTTTGAATTCAGCCAGCCACTTCCGTCTCTTGTTGCTACAGGCAGTACAGGATCTCTCCCAACACCCTCTCCCCTCTGCCCACCACCTCTCATTATATCCTGTCATACGACCCAGGTGGGTAGTGGCATCCCAACCCTGCAAACTTGTCACCCTACTCAAAACCCAGACTGTATAGATGGTGTCTCTCCTGTGGCCTCTGAAGGTGTGGATTCCTTCCAACACCTTTGTGCACATCCTGGATGGCTTTGGAAATCCAAACACACCCTCTGTAGTGGTTCATATCAGAGCTGCTAGTCTCATCTTCGGATTTCTTTGCAGGTACCTGGCCTTCTCTTGGTCTCCCTGTGACCAGTGTGGGAGGAGGCTGATCTTTGTCTCAGGAGTAAAACCTGGTAAAGTTCCCTGGGGGCCTCTCACAGTCATACTCCAGGTGGGGCCACTGTCAGACTGACTCTCCACTGGGTCATCAGAAATGTGTAGGGTGATGCTCAGTTCCCTCAAGTCTCCTGGGAGAGCCAGACGGCAAGTGCTCGCTACCAACTGCTACCGCTCAGGCCTTGACAGTCTCGGTCAGTTAAAGTATATCCATCTAACTGTAGTTGGATAATTGGTCACACACGATGTTTTGCATACTAGGTGTAATCCTCATGAGCTAGGAGTGGGGTGTGGTGGTGAGCACTTGTCTATCACATACTGGGTTCATCCTCTTTATCAGTCTCCCAAAGGGGTGGTGACTTACATGATGTGACACAAAAGTGTTTGCAAGGACCCGCTACTCAAGTTTTATTTTAGTTCCCTTAGGCGTGAAACACTGGGTGTTGCGTGGGTGGAGGAGGTGGAAGAGGTGATTAACATCTTTAGAAACTATCATACCTTTCATTGAAGTCCTTATTCCATCTTACATCACCAGGACCTGTGCGTTCCAATTGCTCCAAGTCCTTATTTACATTTGACAGCCAGGCTTTTTAATTTGAGACTCCAAGTTAAGAAATTTAAATTCTGAATTTTGAGGCTGTAATGCCAGCACTGGGAAAACTGAGGCAGGAAGCTGGACAGTTCAAGGTCAGCGTGGAGAGTGCCTATTGGCTGCAAGACAGCAGTGCCAACTCTGCCGGACCGGAGCAAGATTTCCTTAAAATGCCTATCTTTCCAATACCTGGGCCGTTCTGACCCTGAGGCAGAAGCCAGGTTGGAGGGGCAGTGTCGCTCCACTTTCTTCAGCTCCGTTCCCTCCGGAAGGCAACTACTCCTGTCACTCAGATCACTAGCCAATCAGAGCTTCCGATCGAAGCCATCCAATCAGGGGCACTGACTGGATGCGGAAGGCGGGCTCTATCCGGCGGCCATGTTGTGGGTTCTGGGCTGCGGGTTCCGCTTCGCAGCTGAAGGATGCGCTGCGAGTGCTGCGCCGGGGAGCTGAAGAGAGCTCGAGAGAAGCCGGAATTCGGCCATGGTGAGCGCCGGGCTGGCTGTGTCCAGACGGGAGCGGCGCCGCTGGAGCCGCCGGAGCGGGCAGTGCTGGGTCCTCCGGGCGGGGCGGGGCGGGGCCTGCGTGCGCCTGCCGGGCGGGGTGGTCCCGTGGGCTGTGTCTGCGCAAAGCTTGCGGTAGAAGTTCCGTGTCGGTGACGTCACTTTGCGAAGTGGGCTCTCGGACTCTAGCGGTGCCCTCGGGTTTGCGGAGGAAGCCATGTGAGACGCAAGGTCGTCTGGTTTCCCCAGCTTACTTCCTATAAGTTCTGAATTTTGCGGTTCAGTTTTAGGCCAAGGATCCACGTTGCGTGAAATTCCTAAAATCTGTGTCCAATTTATTTGTACATAGGTAGTAATGTGGTCCAGTAGCGTTAATTGAGAAGCTCATACTTCAGAGTTTGACCATTTTGTGATTTATTCTGTTTCTTTTCTGTTGATCTGGTTATTCTGTCCAAAATTATATGTAGTGTTGATTATTGTAACTAATGGGAAGTCTTAAAATCAGGTAGTGTCAATCTGTATACTGTATCATTTGCAGTATTGTGTTCACTGTTCTGGTTTTTTACCGTTCAGTGTAACCTTTAGAATCAATTCTGGTATTGATAGGCTGTTAGAATTTTTTTTTTTTGAGACTTAACTGTATGTGCTATCACCTGGCACTTAATATATTGTTACTATTTTCTTTTTTAAAATGATTTAAAAAATTTTTATTTGTGCAAGTATTTTGATTGCCAGTATGTTTATTGGTATGTGTGTGGTGCCCATTAAGGCTGGAAGAGGACTACAGAGCCAGAGGCACCATTTGGGTGTTGGGAGTTGAACCTGGGTTCTCTGGAAGAGCAGCAAGTGCTCTTTACTCCCGGAGCTGTCTCTCCAGCCTGTTAGAATTTTTATTGGGATTCTTTAGAATGTATAGTTAAAATTGAGAAATGACATCCCAATAATGAGACTTCCCCTCAGTGGTATGGGATGGTAAATGGCCCTGCTGCCTGTCACACGACAAAAACCAGGAATTGAATCTTACTGCATTTTTTATTGCATTTACTGATTTATTGTGTGTGAATGTGGACACAGTGCCAGACCATGCATGTGGAAGTCAGACTCCTGGGAGAGTTACTTTCCTCTTTCCACCATGTGGACCCAAGGATCAAACTCAGATTGTCAGGCTTGCCCATAAATGTCTCTTTATCGGCTGAGCCATCTCACAGACCAGAGGAATTAAATGTTTAAGCTGTCATATTTATATTTATAGAGCCAACAATCTGGATTAGCATCCTAAAAAAGAATCTGTCTTCCAGGCTAGAGAGATGGCTCCGTGGTTAAGAACACTGGATACTTTTCCAGAGGGCACTGATTCATTTCCCCACACTCAAGTTGGGTGCTACACAACTGCCTGCTCCAAGGGATCCAACACCCTTTTCTGGCCTCAGGCATCACACATGTGTTTGCTCACACAGATACAACATACACACATAAATGAAAATAATAAAGTTATAACTGTCTTCCATCTCATCTTTTGCCAGTAGAATATTTAGAGAGGGAAAACAAAGGCAGTCATCAGTCATTTCAAAGGTTAGACTTGCCCCACTCGTCAATCTTGTCTCTGAGATCTGTGGTGTTGATGCTCTTCGGTTTATCTCCTCCATGTAGCAAGGGGAGTGTTTGCAAACACCAAAACCCCTAAGTCTTGCATTCTTACAGAGCCAGGCATTAGAATGACACCTAGATGGAATCTCTCTCTCTCTCTCTCTCTCTCTCTCTCTCTCTCTCTTGTCCTTCCTACAGAATGAAGAACAGATATGTTGTACTATATAGAATATACAGTGCCTCTTTCATTGTTCTGATAGTAGTAACTTAACTCTAAAAGTATTATGTGGAAGATGGCATCCTGCCACTGAATATTCAATGGATTGACTCCGTACTCCTAATAGGATTCTCAGACATAATGCTCTGTATGTTGGAGCACATCATATACAACAGTAGACAATTACACCAAGGAAGAAAAAGATTAGGAAAGTTAGGTAGGTTCCTTAAAGCTGGCAGGGCTTTGGAGCCAAGAGTTAAGAAAGGACAGGCCAGTGTCAAAGGAATGTTTTTTTGTTGGGCCCCCAGACTGGGGTACCCAACGTTCACGGGAGGTCGCACCCCAATAACTCAGTCCTCAAATCAGAAGATGCAACAAGCATAAGGATTTATTGGCGTTTTGCAAAACGGACTTCCACCTCACTCGGAGGACAGGAGTCCAGAGCCCAGTTCACAGGTTTCTTTTAAAGACAAGCGGCAGCTATGTGCCAAGCAGAAAAGCGGTGGCTATGTGCCAAGCAGAGGTAGGGGGAATTTCTGGGATGATTTCCAACTTGGGCAGAGGAGCATGAAAAAGGTCAGCTCAGCTTGTTCTTAGCATTCAGAATTATTTTTCATTTTTACTTCCTTGTACAGTTTTTCTCAGGCCTGGGGGATTTTAGTTTAAATCCATTATTCTGGGGGCTTTGGATTCATCATTTCCCCCCTTTTCTTATAGTAAGATTTTAATCCTAAAATCTATAGATCTTCTGTTCTTCTGGAAGCATGGTATTGCTGAGTAAGAACCAGAGCCTGAGTTACTGACAATCGGTCTCTGATAAATTGTAGCAGCCTATTGAGGATGCATGGCCCAAAAGTTAAAAGAAGGAGAAGAATTACCAGGGGACCTATTAGGGTGGATGCTAAGGTAGTTAACCAGGGGCTTTTATTAAACCAGCCTTCAAACCATCCCTGTTTGGATTCACATTCTTTTTGTCTTTTATCTAATCTTTGGTGAAGTTTAGTCATAGAATCTTTAATGACCCCTGAGTTGTCAGCATAGAAGCAACATTCTTCTCCTAGGGCTGCACAAAGTCCTCCTTCTTTGAGGAAAAGCAGATCTAGCCCCCTCCTATTCTGTAATACTACTTCTGAGAGGGAGGTTAGAGATTTCTCCAAGAGGGTAATTGACTGTTCTATTGCTCTAATGTCTTCATCTACAGCCATCTGTAAATCTGCATAATATTGGGGTCCCGGTATTAGGGCCGCCGTTCCGGTTCCTATCCCTGCTGCCACCCCTACTCCCAGAAGTATTGCTAGGGTCAGAGACATAGGCTCTCTTTTATATCTGCCTGGGTTTTGTTCATAAAACTGTTCTATGGAATCTGCGGGGTGATAAAATACTCGGGGCAGGAGCTTAATCAGGACACAGTAGTCTTGAGAGGTATTAAGGACCATACTAGCTACACAGGGAGTTAACCCAGAGTTACATGCCCACCAAGCCCCTTGCAGAGGTAGGAGATAGTAATTCCCTTCCCCTGGGGGTACAGAAATAGTGGAGTTGCAAAGGTGGG